CAACATGATTGATGGAAAATTAAAAATATAAATTAAATGTTTATTGATATTTGGCACCAATGCACCATCAATAATTTTCAACAGTAAAAAAATCATATTATGAAGAGTMAATTTTAAGAATATTTAAAATATTATTCATATAAAGMAATTATAAATAATAAGAATACATAAGTTATCAGCAAAAATGTAAATTAAGGACTACAACAATAATTTCAGGAAATGGTGCGTTTAAAATTATTTTATAGTTAATGATAATAATTGCCAGACACTTTCAGACACAATATATAAAAATGTAAAAATCAACTAAAACAGATGAATTGAAAATGTACTTGCACTGTGAAAACAATTTATTTTTCTATGTATATTGTATAATCAGAAATAACAACTATGTACCTACATTCTAAATCTAACAAGTCGAAGGTCATACAGTAAATACATAAAAATTAAAAGATTTTTGGATAAATTCGACATCAATATAGTACCCACTATATACAATATAATACACAAAACACAATAAATATAGGTAAATTTGTTATAATAATTGATAAAATGATGGTGGCCAAACATTTTATAATTGGTAGGCCAATTTCATATATTCTAAATTGTAATGTAGAATAAGCATAATGAGGTGGTTCAAACAAGGTAATATAAACTTCCATAGGATTGAAATACAATGTACCTACTAAAACAAAAATAATTTGATATCGATTATATTTTTTTACACTTGGGTTTTACAAATTCACGCAGTGACACTTGTTGAAGGCCAATTCAATTCAAATTTTTCATGTTTTGCAATTTTCAGGTAGACATATTTAAGAATGGACTTCAAAATTATTTTAGATTGTTTAAGCCAATGTTAAGCTACATTTTTGAAGGAAAAAAACTGCTATAATGTTTGATTTAACTACTTAATTTAGGGGAAACWGTTTTTAAVTTATGAAAACTGTTTGATGTATTCTGTCATTCTGATGTAGAATAAGCATATTGAAGGCGTTCAAAAATGGTTTTACTTTTTATCTGATCGACGTACAATGTAGTAAAAAAAAATTTTAAATCAATAATATTTTTTTACACCAATATGTTACAACATCACACAGTGRCATTGTTGATGGCCATTTCAATTCTAATTTTTCACGTCTTGCAGTTTTTAGGTAGAATTATTTCCGAACGATCTTTAATACTATTTAATTTAGTATAAACTCCGGTTTAAACCAATGTTAAGCTACATTTTTGAACGAAAAATAGTTATTCCAACATCTTATTTATCAATTTTTATACTGGAATTATTATGATGGAATATGATGATTGATGTTTRTGTCTGTCGGGTTTTTAGAATATCACCATGATGTGACAGTGACCGTCAACTCTAGTGGACTTGACAAATAATTCTGTTGCCACTTCGYTTTTGCCGAACACTCAACCATTCGTCTTTTGCTAGATTTATATAAGTGGATAATGTGAACGCCTTATAACGTATATATGTCATACACGGACATTGACAAAACTGTAACGCAAAACTAAGAATAGAAATGTCAAACGGGCTATAGTGTTCAATCACAAGATCACCAGTAACGGCGACACACAACGACACAACACAGACATATTGTCATAATAAAATCTGATGATTATCTGATGACGGGTGTCCTCAATGTTGCACACACGAAATCAACGATAATATTATAGTAGGTACCCAGTCAAATGTCATGTAACATTTGCGCAAACTGAAGTGATCAATTATTATAGATGTACAAAAATAAAATGTAACTATWAAAATGTTTCATCAGGCTAGCGTACCGGTAATAATCAATAATCAAAAGAAAAAAAAATAACAAACACTGTGTATGCTACCGGTAAACACAAACAACGATCAGTATCTCCTGCTAGTACTGTAATGACAATATAATATTGTCTGCGGGGCATATTCCTGCGGTGATGTTGATAATCTCGGAGACGGCGCGATGGTCGTCAGATAGCGACGAAATGTTGCATCACTTACTATATAATATATATGTACCACTGTACCAGATAACAATGCTACATGGTACAGCAGGATTAGGTACACGGCGACCGACGATCATCACACCGGCGAACAGCGCGATTAGTATTTATATAAGTAGATACATCACGCGTATTCTTTGATGGACAGACGTGCACAAAATTCGCACTGAAATGTCGATGGCTAGAAGCTAGAACAGACGACAAKACCTGCAGATGTACCTGCAGACACTATTCTTGATGACGTTAGCAACGAGCGTTTAAATCCGGTACTCGTCGCGTTACCGAAGTCACGATATCGACTTAAAAAAACTTAAAATTATACTGTAAATATTTTAAGA